TGTGTGTGTGTGTGTGTGTGTGTGTGTGTGTGTGTGTGTGTGTGTGTGTGTGTGTGTGTGAGGTCTGCGTGGAAAGAAGGACGAGCTTCAGATCCATCGTCCGGAGCCTCTGGTGCGCTGCTGCTTCTTCCTCTTCTTGCACACGTAATAAATCGGGAAAACAACCAACCCTACAAACAGAGAAGGCAGAAAGTGCAAGAGAGGTCAAACCGCTGTCCTATTTACAAGCATTAAATATTCTCTGTTGTGCAGCGCTGCAAACAAATGTGGAGCTGAAAGGCATCGGAGAGAGACGGCAGCACAACACTGATTCTATTAATGATGAACCCGCCAGCATGACTATCAGTCCGCAGAGGACCATCAGTCGGACTTACAGACGCAGGAAACAGATTAACAATAATTACACTAATAACTACAGGTCAGCTGAGGCATGAGCAGTTCACAGTGCAGTCTGATTAGTCTGTAGCTGGATGCTCCTGCAAATGTACAGCACTGTGCAAGTCTCGAGCCCCTGACCTTCCTCATTTCTTTATATTTTGCAGGGAAAACTGGAGCAATGAATTAAAACCTGCAAACATACACGAAGCTTAAAGGGCTTTAAAGTCAATATTTGGCATGACCACCTTTGTTCTTCAACACAGACTGAACTCTCTTAGGCAGCTTTCTTTAAGTAGTCTTTAGGAATAGTTCTTCTAGAAGGACATTTGAAGCTCTTATGCTGATGTTGGCTGACGTTTGTTCCATGACTGATAGTGTTCCACTGTGTGCTTTTTATTTAAATCAGGATATGTTTTTACTGCATTAGCAGTGTGTTTGGGATCATTTTCATGCTGCAAAATGAAGATGAGGCTTCAGTGAAAAAAAATTCTGAAGGGGAGCTGCATCTCTCGGGTCCCTCTTGTCAGGTCTGTGTTGAATTTCTAGCTATTTCTTAAGTTACTGTTCATCCGCTGTAAATCTCGTCTCCCTCAAATCTTTAGGGGCACAACTTCCAGCTAAAATCTCTTTGGGAATCACTTTGCTGGTGCAAAAGTATTATTTCATACCTGTGAAACTGCCTTATCTTTCTTATCTATAAAAAATAGGAACAAATGATATGTTTTTGCTATAACAAAGTGCAAATTTTAAAGATAAAACTGAAATTGGTCCATTGCTAGGTTGTCTCTTCTGTGTAGACACTGAACTCTAGTTCATCCTTTGTGTTAGCTATATTTTTAAGCTTCAGGTCAGGTACAGGGACTGGACTGAAAAAGAGTGAAGAAGCAGCCCAATGTCCTATGACAACCTTCAGAAAGCCCAGAGAACTGATGCTCAAAACCACCATAAAAAGTTACTAGAAAGCTTTGTTCATTGGAAGCCAAATACAAAGAAATTAGGGGTGACTAAACACTTGTACAGTCCTGTCCTTCCAGGAAGCAATAGTTACTCCATTATAGTGTTTCTCTGGATCAACAGCTTTGTCCTTTTTGAACAGAAAAAGTGAACTTTTACAGAAAATAAAAAGATGCCCATGACTGAAAACAGATGATAAGAGAGCTCCTTAGCAGCCTGGAGGAAAACAACGAGGCGAACCATCTCGCTGATAAGTGTTGACTGCTCTCACCGAAGCAGATTAGAGCTCACGTGTGTTTGTAATATGTTACCTATCACCAGCGCGAGAGCTCCGAGCACCACGACCAGCAGAATGACCACAGGAGCTATCAGCACCTTAGAGGCTGCAGAGAGACACAGGCAGAGGAAAAGATGATTGTCATTTTTTTTCTCTTCATAAATTGCGACATTTGGTCATCGGTGAATAGCTGCGGGATGGAAGTTACTGTAACTACAAATTACTTAATCCGCAGTGTAATGTTCTTTATTAAATGCTACATCTTTGCCGCTAGCAGTGCATGGCACGAGAGCAGTTATGAGCGCTGTAATGGGCCAGTGGCTCGTGTTAAGCGACAAATTAGCTCCCGGTTCACGGGCACCCTGCTGACATAACGAGCTGAAGCTGTCGCTGAGAGCAGAGTGAAAGAGAGCTATCAGAGGGGATTGCATGTATTTGATAACCGTGAATGGATAATAAGAATGAACATCTGATATGTGATTCTAATCATGCTTCATCAGGAATCTCATGAATGAAGTACAGAGGTAGATGTGGATATGTTCACTTCTGTTGTTATTGGGTGGTGAATTCACATCAATCACTTAGAAACCAGAGAATCTGGTTTCTAAGTGCAGGAGCCCCAGGAAAGGCTTTTTCATTAAAGTGATGCAAGCAGTGGAGCTTTAGGGATGGCAAGTCTGCTTAATTCCGGCTGTTCCGCCACTCTGATCCAAACTGTAATAGCTTCAAACTGTTAAAAGTACAAATACCTCTATTCTTCTCTGTGTTTAATACTTCTTAGCAATCGCGCTAAAACACTAAGACAGGATGCTGAACGTGGTAAGGAGTATCCCTACTAATTCTTCCTGCTTCAGTGCAGCCCATAGACGGTTATAAAGCCTCAGTCTGAGCGTCTTCGCTGTGGTTTCAAGGCGCCGATCTGACTGTGAAGCTGACTTGTGATCAACAAGTCCTTAGCACATGAGGATAGCCTGGATCATCCTCCTTTCTGACTCTCAGAATGACCATAATTTACAAAATGGACTGCGTGTTTTGTTCAGTATGACCTGAAAGTAACAACTTAGACCATAAATAAAGGTGATGATGATGATGATGATAAAGTCAACAGGAGCGTGATGACTGAGGTCACAGAGAAACAGCAGGCGAGGGCTGTTTGTCCACACACTTCTTTACAGCCAAAGATCTTTGTGCAGCCACAGGAGTCGGCCCCTGCTGGCCATTAAAAAGACTGCAACTCAAAGGCACCTAACGCTAACCCTGATTGAATTTACAGGCTCAATCACTCATTTCAGGTCACACCAAAATAAAAATTAAGCGTATTTTGTAAATCTCGGTCATACTGTGTTTCAAAATGAAGACTTATCCGTGGAGGAAAACACACCTTCATTTTCTAACAAGAGGCCAAAAACAACTCCAGATTGGTTCAAACAACTATACTTTCAGTACAAGCATTTGTGCCACTTTGAAGACCCAAACTGTCACCCTCAGATGAGAGGGGATTGGTTAGGATGTTCAGGAACCATCAAGGCTCAACCCTGCCGTAAACAGGTAACTGTCCACAGTGAAGTTTTACATCACCAGGAACTGAGAGGATGCTTTCCAAAAGTTAAAAAATCAACACTTTCAAACTCGACTGAAATTTACAGCTACAAGGACAAGTGCCTTCTGGAGAAAAGTTTCATGATCAGACAAAACAAAGAGTGAGTTATTTTGCCTCAATTACAGGAGGTATGATAGCAGGAGTAAAGCACGGTGGTGGTAGCAGCTGCACTGGCACTCCATACACTGCACAAAGCGCATGGGATAATAAAGAAGGAGGACTACCTCCAAATACTTCAACAGCTTGACATTTGAAACTTGGACAGAACAGCTAAATGAAACCTTGTGCTGTACATATGAGGGAAAAGAAATCCTTTCCAATAATATTCTTGAATCTTTCAGGGAATGTACTGGTTCTCTGTAATTTCAAAAGCACTGTCCAACTGTCCAAAGCATCAACACATTACTTGAAAGTAGAAAATTGGGGCACGGTGCAGTCAAGCACACATACGGTACTTCCCCTGAGTTTTCTGGATGTAAGGTGTCTGTTACTCGTCTTGCACACACTTGTGTAACGAGCAGAGGACATTGTCCTAGTCTGACACTACTGTTGTGTGACAAGGCCAGTGACCAGAGTTCACTCTCATCACAGCTTGAGCAAACAGCTCTGTTGTTTAAATCTGTGGCAGAACACACGGTAACTGCCATAACGGGCCACTCCCAGTTGTAGACATGCAGCTGTGTTAGCATAAAGCTCACTATAGCTGAAAAGAGCAAACATGCTATGAAAACATCTCTTTATCAATTACACGCAGCAACTTACCACAGACAGAGCCTCTAATTAGCCGTCTCAGATGAGGTTTATCGGGGAGATAGCGATACTTGCAGCCAAACACACTGAGGTTGGATGTGTGGTCCCCAAAAAATCTGCTGGCAAAATGAAGCGAAAGATGAAATCGGAGAGAAGAGATGGGCGGACAAAGCAGCCAGAATGAAGAAAGTGGAGCACAACACACCTCAGGTGTCTGTAGCGCTCTCCGCAGCGGTAACAGAAGTTGGTGTTGCACTGCACACAGGTCATGTGATCGCATCCCTCCGTACGCTGAATATGAATCTACAGACGAAGATTAAAACAAAGAGAGGTGATGTAACATTAACTGAATCTCAATAGTGCAGCTTATCCACTATCGCTTTAGTGCAATACCTGAAGTCTCGTTCGGTTTCGAGCTGTACACTATAAGCATCTAACAGCATCCGCAGTAGTACAGTACATCAGCAGTACGCATCAGGGAGCAGACTTTCTATAACCTCAGCAATAACTAGCTTTGAGCAGCTTCTTTTACTTGACACCAATCTGCTGTCTTCATCAAACATGAGCTCCTCTTCCTGCTTCCAGAGCCATGGAGCACCAGTGTGACAAACACAGATGGAAAGTGTTTACTGCTGTGAGCAAACAGTTCCCATATACCGGTAATTAGCTTAATTTATGTCTTCCTTTAGTCATCTGACAGTCAAATTAGATATTGCGTAGACCAACTTAGTCGTAATGAGACTGCACGATAAGACCAGGCTGGTATTATGGCTAGCAGGGAGATGCCAGTGAGTCTACCAGATATGGTTTTGTGCAGCACACATGGCCATCATTTTTCAGCGTGGACTGCCGCTGCCACACGTGCTTTTTTTTTTTTTTTTACATCTGTGCATCCATCCTGTTCTCTACAGCGCTCCATCCATCATCTACAGCTGCTCCAATGCTTCTTAACCTTCATTGATTCATTCATCTACACCGATAACACCCTCCATCAGTCAAATCCCTTTCTGTTTACAGATACTGTGGCTGCTTTCAGGAGTCCTCTTCCCAAAATTTTGGAAACTAAAAGCTTGTGGCGTGTGTCGTTCATCAGTGTCTTACCTTGCACTTGGGGCATTTCTGGGCGTTTCTCTGTCCGTGCTCAATGACGCTCGCCCAGGTACGTAGCAGCTTGTCTCCTTTCCTGTAGTCGCGGCATTTGAGCCCGTCGTGCCAAGGTGCGTGGCATTTAAAGCACCACACAAACTGGCAATTGCTACACTGGATCTGCAGAGGAGACAGAAGACAGACATGTTTACCCACAAATAACCAACATGCTTAGCCTTAAAAATGGACAACTGCAGTTTGACCAATCACATTGAATGTGTTACTTTTGAGCAGAGGTGCAGATTTAGTACAGGCTATTAATCCTTAAACCAAAATGCATTATTTTAGTAGCTAGTTATTTATATTCATATATACACACATGACCCTTAATGAAATCCCAGGCTTATCTATTTTCCAACCGATCTGATCTTTTAGTTCCTGTCTCCTTAAGCCTGGAACTCCAGAAAGCCCCTTTTGATTGGTTCCCCCTCGCCAGGCTTCAGCAAACAGAACCTGCTGCTTTTAAGCTCTGCCTTCTCACCTCACCTCCAGCTGTGTAATAGATGACTACAAGAGGAAAATATATGTCGAGCTGATGTCAGATAGGCACAGGCTGGAAACCAAGGCTTAGGTCTTACTTCCCACTGATTACCTTATTATTTTAAAACTCTGCCCAATTTCATTGCATTTGACATTATAATACACAAATAAACACACATCACACAAAAGTATTATTTATGACCTTTAGGTTTTTGAATTTGCCTGTTTTTTTCCCCAGGATTGTGAGGCATTTTATTCCTAAATATAAGAGTTTGCCAGTAGGGAGATGACAGGGAATGGGGGAAGAGAGATGGGAAACGATAAGCAGCAAATATCTCTGTGCAGATGTGAACTATGGGATGTGGTTTCGGTTGAACAAATAAAATCATACATCAATAGGGGACCCTGGTCTTTGTTGCTCTTGACGTGAATAAAGGCTTGGGATCTGATTTGATCCACTCGCAGTTAACCAAAGCAATTACTTTTACCCCAGCTCTGCTTTTGTTGCCTAGTGCACACACCAGCGGCACGAGGCACTTCTTTTTAATCACGCAGCTCACTGCGACTCGCTGCGAGCATCCCTTTTTACTGTACAACATTACGGCAACTGTCAACGCCGGCACGTCAACTTACTTTATACTTGTGCTCGGAGCGGTTGGGGGTGTGCGTCTTGAGAGAAGTGAACTGACTGCACTGGGGGCAGGGCTTTGTGCTCGAATCCAGCTGACTCAGCTCCAAGAAGTAACGATATTTTGCCACCTCCTCTTTGGTCAAATGGGAAATCACCAGTCCTTCCTCCAGGTTGCCACTACACTCCGTGATCGGACAGCTGATAAGAGCTTTCCCCACTCGCACCTGGGGAAAGAACACAGACAGATGACATGGCATCGTGGAAAAAGCTGCTTTTAATGCACGCAGAGGCTCAGAGGAGGGTGTTCTACTTTTAAATGTTACTGATAAACCTGTCAAAGGCTCCACAAAGAAATCGGTAAGCTTCATAAAACGTGTGTCACCACTCGGCGGTTTGTTATGGTGTGTTTCTTTGGCCCAAATCTACATGCTGAATATATTTACACCACTGATGAGAGATGGTAAATAATTCACCAAAGACCAGAAGGACTGAGGGGCAGAGGGAGGTCGTGCAGCCGCTGGAGGTTAATCTACGACAAAGCGTGGGCACATTAGTGCAGCGTGAGTGCCTGGAACTTGGTAACTGAGTGGAACTGAACCACAGTCTGGTGATCCAGTAAAACACTAACCAACCATAAGGTCACGCACTCTGGAAGAAGTGCACTCTTTTATTTAGACTTCTCTTCAAGGCGTGTGAGGCTAAGGTAAACAAACCTGCTCACCAAAAGGTGAGCCGGATATTTTGACTGTCTGACTAAGCGATTTCAGGAGGCTGACATGTAATCCTGGAAATTTCACAATCTGTTATTATCATGAGTCATTAATTTAGCCTTTACAGTGCTACGTGCCAATGTCCGGCAAACACAAACTCATGTCATCTAACCCTGCCTATAATGCAGTATGTGATGCAGTAAATGTCACGGGCAGGATTAGAGACAACTCAAATCCCACTGGAAATATTGCCTCCTATTCTTTTACCATCTTTCGTTTCAAACTTTTTTCAATGTGCTTCCTCCCAGCTAGGGCTGATCTTCTCTAGTTCCATTCATCTTTCATTTCCTCATTTTTCGCTCTCTCTGTCTCCTCAACACATTAAATCCATCAAACCCTGCGAGACCTGTTATACTGACACATGATCAGGTCTTTTCTCCCTTTGTGTGTGTGTGTGAGAAATGGCAGGCCGAAAACAAAGTACAATAGCATCAACTTCTGATGGTGTCACACCCATATCACCCACCCCTCAAAAACCCAATATTGCATATAGAGTTAGCATATATCATCCAAAGCTATATTGATATTGTTGCCACAACAGCAGCGCAGGGATGACCAGCACAGACTGGTTTGACTGGTTATTTCTCACCTCCACGTGTCACAGAGTGTGGTCTGCTGAAAATACAGGTGACTTTGTTCTGTGGTTTTAATGTCTTGAGTGAAAACATAATCAAATATAACCAGAAACCTGATTTTACCACATAAGCAGTGAACCGTTCACCTACCTGAGCCAGTCCGAGCACGTAAACTGCCACGTGCTGCACGTATTTGAAAACTAGCTGACTGAGGCTGGGTTGTAAACTAACAGCATTGGATTACATCCAGCTTTGAATAACAGATTTGTAAGAGCAGCAGATGATGTCAGCATGACGTGGACCAAAATGAGATCATGCTGCCTTAAAGTAAAACAACTGGTAGTAAGTGTTTAGGAATGCAGGAGGCTTTAAAAGAGACCTGTGTTTGGCAATCTGTGATTCAGTATTTGTATTCTGTACTCTACTGGGGTAGCTTTGCACGATTCACAGCCCTGTCCCCCTTCCCTCATACCCAACCAGTCAAGGCAGATGGTTGCTCCGTCCTTAGCCTAATTCTGCCAGAGGTTTCTTCCTGTTAAAAGGGAGTTTTTCCATCCCACTGTCACCAAGTGCTTGCTCAAAGGGGGCTATTTGCTTGTTGGGGTACTCTCTGTATTATTGTCAGGTCTCTACCTTACAATATAAACTCCCTTGACGTGGCTGTTGTTGTGAATTGGTGCTATAGAAATAAAGCTGAATCGAATTCACAGTAAAACAATTTGTCTCACAGGTTCAGCCAGCTTATCAACTGTATGAAAAAACTGTTTTAGCGCTCTCTTCCTGTTCCCTTTAAGCCGACTTTCAGCTGAGTGCCTGCCTCTGCTGAACTGAACATTTGAAGAGCAGATGGGTGGATGTGTCCCTGAGATGATTGATTAGGGATTTCCACTTTTGCTGACATCATACAGAGCACAGAGTACAAAATAATGTCTAGAACTTACTATTATGGGCCTATGTGAAGCCTGAGGTTTTGGCTCATGGGTTTTCCCATAGTTAATCTGACCTCATGAAACCTCTCGTCACTATTTGTTTAATAACACTAAGCTAAAATTGAGAAGCAGTGTATGAAAAACTAAATAAGACCCATACTGCTTCTGTCATATGTCTAAGCGGGTAAGTAGCAGCCAGGTGCTGGTAATCATATGAACCCCATTAATGGATCTTTAGGAAGTGCGAGCACCTCTATGAAAGCAGAGGTTCTGGCAGTTTGCTGGTCTGAAGCATTCAGCTGTGTCTTAACATGCATCAGTAATGATCTCAGAGGAGCGACTACTGCTGCCCGTTAGCCTGGAAAAGGTTATAAGGCCATTTCCAAACAATCTGGAACCCATCATCCCACACTGAGAAAGACTAAACATGTAAAATGTTGAAGAGATTTTTCCCAGCAGTGGATGATGCAGCGCATTCACCTCAACGTTAGACCCCCCAAAACAAAAACTAAAAAACAAGTTCAACTTCTCAGACTCTAAAGTGCCACATTTTTCAAAAACCCAACACAGCCTATCAGCACCTCATAACAACTGATGATGGAGGGGTGATGATTTGAGTCAACCATGAACTCCTCTGTACACCAAAGTATTCTAGAGTGAAATGTGAGAACATCAGTGCAACAGCTGAAGCTTGGCTCAAACTGGATCACCAACAAGACAATGATCTCAAGCAGAGCAGCAAATCTACAGCATGATGACCGATAAAGAAAAGAATCAATGTGTTGCAATGGCCCAGCCAAAGTCCAGACCTCGACCTGATTGAAATGACCATTGTAAAGACCAACGGGCTGAAAGTTCCTCCACAATCATGTGAGACACACAGAAAACAAACACTTCAACTTACTGCCGCTAAAGGTGACTCCACTGAATCACGTAGGATACTCAGCTTTTCACACTCTGCTTCTGCATTTTGGCTTAATTTTTGTTATATAAATGACGACACAGTGTAATATATCATGTGCTGGTGTTCATTTAAGAACATGCTAATGTCCTGATACATATAACCTTGGAAATGAAAGCGATTACACTGCCTAGATTTCATTAGGTCTTTATTTAGCACAACAGGAAAGTTGCAGGTTTAATCCCTGTTATAACAACTGTCATAACAACACGGCTGGCAGCGGTTCAGTGCAACATCCATCCATCCTGCAAAGCCTGACCAAGATCCCAGGAGCAAAAACAAAAACAAAAAAACACCAATTCCCAAGTGTCTGTGACCACATCCATCTGACATACCGCTTCTACTGAGGGTAAGCGCCAAGCATGTGTGCTAAAAATTCCACCTCCACAGGATAATGTACATGACCCTTTTAAAAAATTAATAATAATAATAATTCACAGTGTGCTCATCAGAGAGCCGGCTTGGTTCTGTATTTGCATGAATGTTCATGCCCTGTTATCAAAGCAAGGCAACTGCAGATAAAAATGAGCCTCAATGACTGATAAAAAGTGTGTTATCTACACAGATTAAAGCCAATCTTGGCAACAGTAGCAAGGAGATGAGAGTGCAGCTCCTCCCTGGGCTGCAAAAGCAACAGGGATTATGACTGAAAGATTGCTGACCAGAACAGTCTGATGAAGAAGCCACAAAAAGGCAGAAAATCCATCCTGAAACACTTTACCTCTGGTAGAAAGCATCGCTGGCTGGCAAATTGTAATTTTACTGTCAGTGCAGTGAACATGTACAATAAACGGTTATTTAATTTATCTGTTCAGTGGACTAGTCAGTGTTTCGGGGTCTGTGTTAGCAGTGGAGCTATTAAAGCAGAAAATAACTGCTAATACGCACAATTTTATATTCGCTTATTTATCGCAGGTCACACAGTCATGGCAGCGCTGACCACTGTTACTGAACACTGCAGAGCTTCCTTACATCGTGCAGGCCTGGTAGGAAGCAGCAATGTGCCTTGTGCTGCAGTCTGATAGCTGTTTATACTGGAGAGTAATCAATCTATCAATTATTAATTCTCTTAATGGATCAGCATAAAGCAACAGAGACTCCACACTGATATTTATTATAGTGGAAGAACTCATTCTTCAACTATGACGTTGTTGCTTCTGTGTTGACTGCTGCAGCTGTTTTTATCCATCTTATTCCTCCAGATACCAAAAGGCATTCTGGGAATGTAGGAATCAACCCAGAAGGGGATGATCCCACACTTTGTGCCCCTTTGGGATGCAACTGGACATACTAATGCACATAAGAATAAAGGTCTTCTATCTGAAGGTGGGATCCTTCTTAAAGAGCCTGAGAGAAAGACGCTGAATAAGCCAAAGAGCTCTCACAAAGTCCTCTATTGTGAAAACCACCGCTGCCAGGTCCCAATTTTGGTGTGGCATGCGTCTGTGACCCAGATTCACCGAAAAAGTACTCATCACAAGACAAGAAGACCTGTAGATTCTCGCACTCACTCGTTAATTAACCCTTAACGTGGATCTTTTTGGACGCATGCGAAACACGTGGGGTTGGGGGTCACCACCTGGTATGCTCGAAAGCCAAGCCCGTGCTTCTAAATGTGGATAAAATGCCAAATATAGCACAAGAAAAGTGTGACGGAGAAGACTGCAAAGTTACTGCTGCTCAAGGACACCTCGGCCAGCTGCTGCTGACCGACCCAGCGAGGCCTGCTTCTGGGACAGGCCCCTTTTGTTTTCACTGAGATACCCCCCCACTGATCCCTAACCCAACCAACCTGGGAGCTGACGTAGAGTTTCAGACACTCGTCACACACGGCCTTCCTGCAGCAGGGCAGGGGTGCGATGGTTTTCTCTTCCATGCACACCCGGCAACTCTGCATCGCATCCTCGGTGCCGGCCTGCTCCGCGGACAGCCGGTGGGACAAGTCCCCGAAAGGATCCACCAGGTCGTCCACTGTGTACGGTTGCGGCTCGAGACTCGAACCCGCATCCTGCCCATTCTCCAAGTCCCGTTCTGACGCGTCTGGTGCGACCGTGTCATCGGAGCGGTCCGTGATTTCGGCGTCTTGTCTATGGCTGTCGTTGGCAATGCAGTAAACGGTGCAGTAGACGTGCTCTTTGGCACTGACAGACCCCTCCGGAGTGGCCGTGCTGCCGCTGTTGTCACACGTATGATGGTGCTGACCTGTAACGGTTAACAATTCAACTGCCCGAACACCCAAACTCGGTAACTCGCTCGAGGTTGGTTCGTTTTCCACCTCGGCTTCGCCCGTTTCTACGTCCGACTTTGTAGACCCGCTACAATCAGGTACATAATCTTGAGTGTCGTTAACGTTTCCTTCGTGGTTTTCAAGCTCGGCTCCGTACTGCATCCGACTGCCTCTGTTAAGACGGAAAGAGGGAGATTTTGAATCCCCGAAATTCTTCCTCAGGATGTCGACAGCGCTCGCCCTCCTCCTCGCTCTCCCTCCGCCGTTGCAGTTGTTGTTGTTGTTGCCCTCCGCATCCTTCCCCCCCGGGTCCCTGTCGCTTTCGTCCAGCGATAGCCGAGAGTTTGACCTGGTGACACGTCGGCTCAAATCTCCGAGCGTCCGCTCAACTTTACCGTCCGTGAGGGAAGTTTGTGTCGGCAGGTTGCGGGACAATTTCACCCTCCCCTCCTCGATGCCGCTGATGAAACTCGGCATTTTACAGGCGTCAGCTATCGGGCCGTCATTTTCCATTCCCGATTTAGCTCTCCCCATTTAGAGAGCGGCTCTCTCCCATGCGTACCGCCGCCTGCTCGTCTGTCTGCCTCTCACCCAACTCCCACTACCAAAACAAAACAAAGCAGTCAGGTCGCTGCTTCCGGGTGTCGTCGTAAGCGTGAAGGAGAGCAGCGATAGGCCGATGGAAAGCCTAGTGGTGGAGATCGGAGAGAGCCTAACTCCCCTATAATAATCTATGCCACCAAATAAAAACAGTGCTCCCGGTACTAAGTGTGAGGAAGAGGAGCCAGAAGGGCTGGCCCACTGGCTATTTTGTTTTTTGTTTTTTTGTCCTAGGCCTCTGTACATGGGTGTCAAACATAACGCCAGGATCGGCCCACTAAAGACTCTAATCTGGCCCACTGGATGGTTTAGAACAGCGGTTCCCAACCCCCGGGCCTCGGACCGGTACCGGTCCGTGAGTCGTTTGGTACCGGGCCGCGAGAGTTGAGGCTCGGGTGTGAAATGTATGGCTTTCAGGGTTTTTTATCGGTTTTTAGCGTTTACTGTGTTTCCCACTGATAAAGACCTCCATTAACATCCATAGTACACGAAGTAAAAAGTAAGTAATAGATAAACATTTAAATGACAGAAAGTTCCTCTTTTTTCCACTAGTTGAAAAAATTATTTTTACTGTAAAAAGAAAAAGACAGAAAAAATCAGTTTTTCTCCCAATCCAGCCTACTGTACAGTTTTAGCAAATGTGAAGGAGTGCACAGATTTTGAACTTTTAACTGTATTTCATAGGTTTTACAGCTTTTCCTGATAAAGACTCGTCCATTGACATTCATACTACACCAAAGTACTTAACTAACAGATAAACAATTTCAAGATAGTAAAGTTCCTGTGTTTCCATTACTACAGCGAGTCTACAGTTTAACAGAAACTTTACAGGACAACCTGTGCAATGAACTGCCATAACCTTTTTTGTAATTTTACACATTTATCATTCAGTTTCACTTAAGATTAAAGCGGCCCTCTTATGCGGCACATAGTATAAAACAAGTGACATCCCTGCCCTCGTAGGTTCTTCAACCTGTCCTTGTAACGACTGCAGCTCTGCAGCTGGATCTTATAATGTGCAGTTAAAATAATTAAATGAAAAAAATCCATCACATTTCTTTGACATTTCAGCATTAAATTAATATAAAATTACAGCCTTCTTTTATAACTATTGTTTGTAAATCTAAAGAAAATGTTCAGTTTAAGTTTTGCTTGTAAAAAATCTGAGCTATGATCACATTTAGCAAATACAATATTAAAACATTAAAAATTGTGAGCATTTATTGTCTGAACAATTTTCCATTTTGTCCCATCACGACAGAGAATTGGACCATAATTTAATTTATTTTTTCCTGCCACATTTCAGCTTTTCATAAATGTTCATAAATGTAAAAAGCCATTAGTCTGTATTTTTACAATAACTACTGAACAATCCAAACCATTGAAGCATATAATCATCATTCTGGTAATGTAAAAATATTAACAGTCCTTCTGACCAAGGTTTGTGTTTTAATTCATAATAATGTGTTTTTGTAATACAAAAAAATACAGATAATGTCTGTATTTTCTTACTGTTCCCCCCCCCCCACAAGAGTCTAACAGGTCTTTGGGCAATTCATTTCTGGGAAATTTTATTGAAGGAGAACAAAAAACTTCAGATTGCTGTGTATCTGCTGTGGCAATGTCCTTGAGCAAGATACTGAATCTTTGTCAGCTTCGTTTACGAGAAACTGAATACATCACTTTGTACTGCTGTGCAAATCATTATAACAACTCAGAGAAGAAAGAATCGAGCAATAGCACTTGTTGTAGACCACTTACTCTTTGTTGCATCACACTCACAGTTCTCCTCTTTATAAAAATCCAGCTCTGGTTTAATTTCATCAGGAAAAGTGAAGAATGAAAGCAGTTTGAATGGACACATTTTTACTGCAGTAGAACTTTCAAATGAATCTAAGTAGGGTACCTGTAAAATGGGTTGTTAGCTTTGTTACAACTTCTCATTAATGCCACAGGGCTGGGGCCACACACTAATTAGTTTTCTTGTTCTGGTTGTGCCCAATTGGTTTTAATGGAGAATGCCAACAATGTTCAGAGAGGAAAAAAAATCTTTACAAGTGCGCGTTTATTACATAAGGCCTCAAACCCAATCAGGAAGGTGCTGTTTTACACAAAACAGGTCAAAAAGTAACTAGTGTGCAGGGTATAAAATAGTTCAACTACTTGCATTCTTCAGCATTTCTTCAGCCTTACAATTAACTGGCCTTGCTCACTCTGGGAATGTTTTCCCATATAAGTGGGTAGATGTGTCATTCCTTCCTTTAACATTGATATGTTGAAATGACTGTTGTAGTTTTTTGGAACAGGAACAACAGCTTCCCAGTTTTGACTGCATGTGGGAGTTAAACAGGCGTAGTTGTTGATGACAGGGTGCACTGAATATTTCAGAATCTGCTGATCAGCTGCAGTTTTCCGACATAAGCATTGCTAGGGTTTACAGATAATGGTTGGAAAAAGATAAACTATCAAGTAAGCAAAAGGTCTCTGGGTGAAAATGTCTTCTTGATGCCAAAGGTCTTAGGAGAATGGACAGACTGCTATGAGCTCACATGAAGGCAAAAATAACCTAATTATCAATCATTATAATCGGGGTAAGCAGAAGAGCATCTCTGAATGAGCAACACACTGAACCTTGAAGCAGCAGAAGACCAAACTGGGCCAGCTATGAATAGAATACTAATACTACAGTTCACACTGGCTCGCCAAATTCATACAATAGACAAATGTCATTTGTCTATTAATAAATAATAAATCCACCCTACCTTGTGTTAATGGTTCAGATTGTTGTTGGTGGCGTAATGTTGTGAAGGATATTTTCCAACATACTTAGTACCAACTGAGCATCATTTAAAGGCCACGGCCTACCCGAGCACTGTTGCTGACCATGTCTGTACCTTTATGACTATAGTGCACCCATCTTCTCATGGCTGCTTCCAGCAGGATAACACACCATGTCACAAAGTTCAGCTAATCTCAAACTGGTTTCTTGAACATGACGATGTGTACTCCAATGGCCTCCACAGTCACCAGATCTCAATCCAATAGAGCACCTTTGGGATGTGGTGGAACGGGAGGTTGACATCCTGGATGTGCAGCTGATAAATCTGGAGCAACTGTGTGATGCTTGCATGTCAATATGAAGCAAAACTTTCTAGCACCTTGTTGAAGCCGTGCTACAACAAACGAAGGCAGTGCCAAAGGCTAAATTGGGTCCAACCCAGTCCCAGCAAAGTGTGAGCGTATACTTGATAAGAAACCCTGAAGTCCACAGAAATAGCCCGGTCTGTAAATGCTAAACTAATTTACATGCATAATATAGCTGGGATGAATAATCTGAGCTAATGTCTAAAAGGAATCAAAGAATAGAGGACACAGTACAGACGTTCCTTCTCCACACTCTACTTTAATCCCAGCTGTCTAGTTTATGTACAGTCAGTCACCTGTGGGAAACCCATCATATGAAGAGAAGGCGCTAACATACATACATGGTACATTCTAGTCAGTGGTGAACTTCAACAAATCAACCCAGAGCCACAGAGAAAAGACTGGACGTCTCTGCTCCCACTTTCAGTAAGTGGCACATTTCCGTAACGATGTACTGTGAAAATAGTTGCTAAATATAAGATGATCATGTCTTATTGCATTTTCAAACACTCGTCTAACAGAAGATTATCTGTTTCAACAAACCAATTTCCCTCCAGAATGTATGCTTTGTTAAATTAAAGCGCAAATTTCCACCTAAATCAATTATCTAAGAGAACTCAGCTATCTGGTATCTCATACCACACAGAGTATCTTGGAGCTTTTTTATTGCAGTGTCAAGAGTTTTACACTGGCTTGATTGAATGTTTATTTACACTGATCAACACAATAATGGCTTGGCTCAATTCTTCTCCTACAAATTCTTTTTTCCTTTTATCACACAAAAGCTCTATTGACTGTTCCAAAGTCTAAATGGGCTCAACCAGCTCTCAAGATAAATAACAAACAGTGTGGCTGCTGTCTTCCTTTTTACTTTAAAAATGTATTATTACTGTTGTTATTGCTGTTTTTTCACCTTTAACAAGCTCTTCCTTCAGCTTAAATTGGCACCTCGCTTTAGAGCAGAGCGTGTGTTTTTTTAATTGTCTTTTTGTTAGGTTCGGGGTTCAAGTCTGCATAGTTCACCATGACATAGAAAACAATGCACTGCAGTACACAGTCCCACATGTGGTCTCTCACACACACACACACACACACACACACACACACACACACACACACACACACACACACACACACACGGGTCACATTATATTTCTGAAATCCTTTCTCGCTTGTTAAGTGTACCAAATTAGGACTTTCTAGATTACTGATTACACAGCGTGGTCAAAGACAAATTTATTAACAAATAAAATCCACTTTCAGTTCAAATAAAGTCATTTCATAATGCTGCGACTGACCAGCTCTTTCAATTAAGCTTCACAATAATGGAACATTTCACAGTTTCCCAATTTGAACTGTGCAAAACAAACCAAGCTGTCAGAAAGCCACATGTGCACGTGTTTGGTTGACAGTTCAAATACAAATGAATATTAGTTAATTTAATGATGTGTTGAATTGAAAGTGAATTTTAAGGCCTAACAGACCAGTTAATTAAACAATTACAGCCTATAGTGCAACTAATACTCTCCCTCCGCCTTGTCCTCTTTCCCGCTCTGATTTCAAATATACTATACAGTTAGAAGAAGTAAAACATAGTAGTCCCACTTATACACAACATCATACAGTATTAGTCAACTAGAAAAAACAGTAAACACAGCCACATGTGAATAAAAAACGTCTAGAAGGTCAAAGTTACATTTCATAGTTTTACATCGTAGTAGCTATTTTTCTCCCTTTACTCAGCAGACATTTCAGACTGTGTTATTTATAGAAAAAACCCCACAAAGTTCACATTTAGGACTCTTGGAGGAGCTTTTGAGGAGCATTCGACAAACCAAACAGTTCCCATTTTTAAGTAGCTAGTTAGTCACACGCAGCATGAGATTAAATATGCAACAGTTTGGGAAACACCTCATGCAAACACACAAAATGCTGTTTCTGTCCTCCGGAGCGACCGTCGGCGGAGCCC